TGCCATTCAAAATCTGAGAACCTAAACGTATTTCATTAAAGAATCAAACTGAAACACTTTATTAAAGTGAAATTTCAGGACAATATTTTTCATTTTGATCACCAAATGTGCAGCAGAATGAAGGGAAATTTATCTTAAAGCCTAATATTTTTATCTAGTCCATCAAAGCTTTAAAAAACCCCATACAGACTAGATTTTTAATGGATTCTCCCGCGTTTTCCTCACCAGGTCGCCTCGTCAGCGGCGACTGCAGGAAGAACATCCACGTGTGGGAGCCTCGCGAGGGTGGAGCCTCGTGGCAGATCGACCAGAGACCGTTCAGCTCCCACAGCCAGTCGGTGGAGGATCTGCAGTGGTCTCCCACCGAAGCCACAGTATGTGCAATTATCAAGACACTGCGGGTCACACTCACAGGGCTGGATGCTTCCTCTGTCCTCCTCCTCCTCCTCAGATGAAAGGAGTGAAGGCTCTGAGCTGTCGATGAGCACATGAATGCTTTGATTAGACATGCATTAATGACGTCACGCTGAGCTCACCTGCTCTGTGCTCTGCAGGTTCTTGGCTGTGGGAAACGCAAAAAACAAACAAAACACAGGGCGTGTCGAGTGAAATCACTGAGCGGATGTTTATTGTAAAGGAACACCTGGCTCGCTGCAATTATGTCGCAACACGAGGTTGCGGCTAAAACCGAAACAGTCCCCATCTTGTTTGAGGTTTGGGAGTGAGCAGCTTGTAAACTGAGGCTGGCTTGAGCCTTTTGCCAACAAGAAGAAGGAAAAAAAAAAAAGAACACAGTTGCTTTGTTTCAGTCCTGGTTTATGTTGGTTGTGATTCACTGCCGACGTTTAAACAGTTGAAATGTTTTGTTTTTTCTTCCTTTAGGTTTTTGCGTCTTGCTCTGTTGATCAGTCCATCCGTATCTGGGATATCCGCGCCCCGCCAAACTCGATGCTCTCAGCCAATGAGGCTCATTCGTCAGACATCAACGTAATCAGCTGGAACAGGAGCGAGCCGTTCCTGCTGTCAGGAGGCGACGACGGACTCCTGAAGGTCTGGGACCTGCGACAGTTTAAGGTGGGAACCAACACCAGTTTATCCAGAAAGACCTCGATAAACTAGAATAACTTATGGAACTGAATCAGTCAAATTTTACTTGTATAGCACCTTTCAGCAACAAGGCGTTTCAAAGTGCTTTACATCATTAAAACACAAAATTACAAAGTCAACAACATTTTGCACATGAGATTATAGATTAATGAGTCATGATTAGGTTTCAAAAGCAACTCTGAACAGCTGAATTTTTAGTCTTGATTTAAAGGAACTCAGTGTTTCAGCTGTTTAGCAGTTTTCTGGAAGTTTGTTCCAGATTTGTGGTGCATAGAAGCTGAATGCTGCTTCTCCTTGTTTGGTTCTGGGGATGCAGAGCAGAACCAGAAGATCTGAGAGGTCTGGAAGGTTGATACAACCTACACAATTTATTTCTGTAATTAAATTTGAGAAGTAAAACTTGTGTATTTCAGAGTGACTTTAGGTACAGATTAATGTATTTAATTTCTTGACATTTTGATGATTCTTGCTTACAGCTGATTAACTTAAAAATTCTAAGATAATTATATCACACAAGACCAATAAAAAAAGTATTTTTTACAGAAACGTTGACTGAAAACTATCTCCATGTTTGCTGGTATATAAATCAAGGTGATATCTTGGCCACTAAAGCAGGTGTTGGTACAGAAAAACACATTTTTCTGGACGATAAATTGTCTAAGAAATTATTGTGATAAACAGTAATAGTGACCATTGACCATTTTCAAGTAATATATTGATTACAGCATAATACTGCAAGTTTGTCCTCTAAGAAGAGGACAAACTTGTATTCTCTTAGAAGACTTCATAAATATCCAAAATGAAACACAACATCTAAAAACAATAAGTAAAATAGAAATGAAAGCCATGCAACAAACNAAAACCATAAATACAAGAGATTGTGANGNCTCTGTAAACAGAATTATTGAGCTCATTTTAATTTATCATGCGATTAATTGCTTATTGCATCAGGCTTAATGTGGGCAGGTTCCAAGTCCTGCTGAAAACTGACGTCAGCGCCTCCATAAAGCTCGTCTGCAGAGGGGAGCATGAGGTGCTCTGGAGTGACCTGGTGGACGGCGACGCTGACTTTTGTTGGAGTTCATTCACTTTTGTCTCTGTGCTCCACCGGGTCCATTAAGCTGTTTCAGGACCCGACCAGAACCCCTGAGTGTAAATTAGCTTAAGAAATAATGAGATTTGGTTATACATAAAAGCAGGCTTTAATGCTGAAAAATGATCAGATGTCACAAGCCATGCATGTCATGCGGATGGATCAGATACAGAGTTACATTCACCGTCCAGCGCTGAGCCACGCTGAGCTCACCTTATGAATGAAACCAAGTGAGGCGAGTTTAGGCAGTCACACATAAACATGGTTATGTAATCTGCAGCGTGTAAGCAGATAAAAGAGATGGAGGAAAAGATAGAAACACTTTAAACTTGATAAATCTCAGTGGCGCAACACCAGCAGCTCCCCAGTTCACAGCTTACTGTGGAAACTTCAAACAGGACTTTCGGCTGTGTGGATTTTGTGCTTCTCCACTGATTCCCCAGAGTCTGGGACTGAAATTTCCAAAGGAAATTCAAACGCAACATGTATCTGATAACTGGCTCCTGAATGGGTTTGCTACATAATCTCATCCAGGCTGCAGTTATTTTTTGTTGCTTTTCCACCTTTTGCGCTACACTTTTTCCTTAAACTAAAGTTTCTATTAATAAGCAGCTTCTTCAGCAAATAACTTTGGTATCAGTGACTCCCTGCAAGACAAGCAGCTTGTAGGCCATTTCATGCCCATTGAATGTGTTAAATTTCCTTTTTGGTGAGTTTCGCTGATTGCGATTTTCAAATTTTGAAAGAAACTAAAAACTAAATCGATTTTTTTCACTAGCTGTGAGCTGTGATCAGTAAAACGGTCAAAAACCAGGAATCTACAACAGCCTCCTGTTTTTTTAACTGAATTACTGAAGTAAATAACCTTTCCAATTACTCCTGTGTACGTCAGACAATTCCCACTGAGACTTGAGTAAATTTCTGTCATTGCAACATGAAAACCAATGTTTATAGGTTTGTATGTTGCATCAGATTGTCTGCAGCCTTGTTATTTATCCAGCTTCCACTAAACGCAGACCTTTGTTCCATTTCATGGTTGTTATGCAACTTTCCGACAATAATTAAGATGATTATTACCACCCTCCTTTTAATCCGTGTGGAAATGCGTTGAGCTGCAGTTCCAGGAGTCAAACAAAACCATTAATGCTGCCACAAAAACAAAGTTAACATGCATATGGCCAAATGTGGACTTATAGAACATAGTGGTGCACCAAATCGGCACCAATTTCCTTAAGTAAGGGTGATTGGCAATTGGCCGATACTTGCATGTAAAGACGATCTTTTCCAACAATCTTGAGTCTAAAAATCAGCCACTGCCTTCTTCTGCTCTGCAGTGAGAGGTTCGACTGACGGACCAGACCATCAGGTCACACAGTTACAAAATCAGCAACTTTCTTGCTATATTTAGCGACATTTCAGGCAGGAAAAAAAAAAAAAATGGTATCGGCCAAATTCGGAATCGGCAGGACAGACTTTTTAAAGATCGGTAACAAAATGGCTGTCCCACATTAACCGGCGTCTTTAACCTGCAGGCTGGTCGTCCGGTGGCCAGCTTCAAGCAGCACTGCGGCCCCATCACGTCGGTGGAGTGGAGCCCCGTGGACTCGAGCGTGTTCGCCGCCTCCGGGGCGGACGACGTCGTCAGCCAGTGGGACCTCTCCGTGGAGTCGTGCGACGTGGGCGCCAGGGTGGAGGGGGTGAAGGATCTGCCCCCGCAGCTGCTGTTCCTGCACCAGGGTCAGTCGGAGATCAAGGAGATCCACTGGCACCCGCAGCTGCCCGGCGTGATGATCTCCACGGCCCTGTCAGGGTTTAACGTCTTCAGGACTATATCTGTGTAGGCCGTAGGTGTGTGTGTGTGTGTGTGTGTGTGTGTGTGTGTGTGTGTGCGTGCGTGAGTGTGTTTTGCATGTAGTCGTAAATATGTGAATGGAGCTTGTAATAATGTAAATAACCTGGCTATATAAGTAATAACTATATTTCTGACATTTACTGGCAGAGAAAAGCGTATCATTAATTTTCTGTATGCTCTACAGATGTGCAAACCGTTTTAGACATTTCCTCTTGGACGCCATCAATAAACAGTTTAAATTCTGATCTGCTTTGTTTCTACTCTTAAAGAAAAATTAACTTCATGCTAAAAAATTATTCATAGTGGACTTAGATCAGAAGAAATGAGTCAGTTTGCCTCATTGGTGATTGGCGTAATCTAGCAGTAAAATGTTTTCTCGGGAGTTTAGTGGCTAGACCAACACACAGTAGTGTGTTTGTTTAATCTTTTTGTGTTTTTGTAATACTTAAATATTTGTATTCAGCCAATACTTTGCAGAACCAGATTTTGCTGTAATTACAGCTGCTTTGATTGGTTGCTTTTCACATCTAGTGACTGAATCTTTTGCTAATTCTTTGCAAACCCTCATTTGCAGTAGGATTGTGGAGCTGAAAGATTAGCATGCTTTCATAAATATAGATTTTCAAACCACTTCATACAGTATGATTTCATCTAAACCATCCCACTGCCGTTATTCTACATGAAGGTGAATTTCCCCCAGTTTCAAGTCTGTAGTAGAGTTTTCTCTGGGCGTACGTCAGATTTACCTCCATATAGAAATTCATCTCTGATCACAAGAAGAAATCTATGCCCATGTCATAATTCTGCCACCACCATGTTTTACGGTGAGTTCAAGGTCATGTGCATTGTTGGTTTTTCTCTAAATGTATGGTTTATTGTTCTTATCTGATCACTTTCTTCCACGTGTTTGCTCAGAATCTTTTCTTCCTTTCTTCTTTCTCTCAGTAATGTCTTTCTAGTTGCCATTTTTCCACAGAGTTCACATTTGCATGGTGCACAATTAATGGTTGTCCCGTAACCACGGAGATCAGCTACCTTTACAAATCCAGGGAGCCATTTCTGTCCTAGCTTTTAATAACATTTGTATAGAGCCACTAAATCAGCATGGCCTTGAAGTTCACATTTGAAGCTTGTCTTGTTTTATGGTCAAATTAAAAAACAGGAGTTCAAAGAAAAACCTTGAAGCAGAAATACTTTTCCTGCACTGCGGAAAACGGGGAATATAAAAGGATTTTGGCTGATTAAAAAAAAGACAGAAGGAAAATAAATTATTGCACTGCGTGTTATTTTGTTGTAGAAACTTTATGCAGATATATTTAGAAAATTGGTAAGGGAAAAAAAAAAAATCTCGACTGCAGACTTGTGTTAACAGATTCTCCAGCCGGAGCCGTGGATCTCTGCAGCTCATCCACGGTTGCCATCGATTTCCAGTTGTGCCTTGTTTTTATTTTGTAATGTCGCATTCAACAGAGCTCTAAGAGATTTGTAGGATGTTGTTTTCTAACTTGACTCTGCTTTAAACGTCTCCACAACGTGCTGCCTGACCCGTCTGCTGTGTTTGTTCTCTCAGAAACCTCTGAGCTCTTCACAGAACGGCTGGATGTGTGTCGAGATTAAACTGGACACAGGTGGAGTGCTTAACAGCAGCTGATGTGGTTGGATGAACTGGATTTTATTCAGGGGTGTTGTAATAAACTCAAATGCACGCTAAACATTACAGATTTTTATTAATTTAGAAAATCATGCATCATTTTCCTTCCATTTCACTCGCACACGACTTTAGTTGATCAAAAACTCAATGACATATGCTGATTGTGACAAAATGAGGAAAAACTGAGTGAATAATTTAAGGTGCTGCACTGAAATAAGAACACAAGAATCATTTAAGAGAAGGAAATTGTTTTGTGGCGCAACGTGATATCACATTGCACTACAAATAAAGTTACATAACTGTTCATTTTTAATTGGAGGTAACGCTTTACAAGGCCTTTCCTTTCTTTGTGGCAGGAAACCTGGTATGTAGCCACCCCAGTCAAAGTACCTAATTAAAATAGCAGACTCCTAATAAAGTGTAGAGCAGTTTGAGAAAGCATCCCAGTCCCTCATATTACCCAAGCCTTGCATCAGAGAGGCAGTCAAAGCTGGTGCCAATAATAACTTTGTTTTGCTGTAATGTTTTATTAAACCACAGGGTAACATTTGAGGGTTTTTTTTTAAACCAGCATTTTCAGCAGAAAGGTAAAATGGTATCTCCCTTTTACAGCATTTTGCAACGAGCATTTAAGGCGAGAAAATTACGCAAGCAAAAAGTACAAAAATACACAGTTTGTCCTGATTTATGAGCGACCTTTAAATCCCATGATTGTTTTCCTCTAACTAGAAAAAAAAAAACATCGCTACAGCCTGAAGGTTAGCTTGGGGAGTTAAAAATAAAACCATCTCAGATGTGGTTTTGGTCGGAACCAGAAAGCCTCACATTGCCAGATATGGAATGTGACAAATTCACAGTAACTCATTATCAACAACGCCTCTGTGGGCTGCAATGCTAAAGGCAAGGAGGCTGTTCTAAACACGCGATGCAGGACAAATAAGACAAGGATATAGCACAGTATGGAGTACAATTAGGCAAAGGATACAAGTCCCTTTAAGGCACATATAGGTAAAGGCCCATAAACACAGCGCTGACTGCGTACAGACTATAAATTGGATATAAAAGAGTAGATTTAATCATAACAACCTGATCCATTTATCCTGAATCAAACTTTCCACAGAGCTTCAGTCTGGCAGCAAAGTTTCCAGCTGAATGAAGCGGATCAAAGTGCTACAAACTCTCCGCTGTTTGAGTGAGCAGATGATACAAAGTCTTGTTACCTTTGTTTATACCGTATTTTCCAGTTGAGCAACATGTTAACTTGTGCACCTTCGTTGGTTTATTTTAGCTTTACATTCAGATTGTTTCTGCTTCCCATTCAGCTGTGAAGTGGTAAATTAAGGAATATGTTGGAAATGCAGTATAAACCGGATCTCTTTACAGACGCTGGACAAAGAGACAAACTTTTTTTCCTTCATTATCTGACATTAAATCAGACTAGACGTTTTTTTTTGTTTTTTTTTTCTGCTTCAGATTCAGACATTTGCATACATTTCCTCAGTATTTGGTTTCTTTAAACAAGCAGTTTGCTGGAGTTTGGGCCCATTCTTCCTCACTGACCTGGTGTAACTGAGGCTTACACCTTTTCACCTCTTCCCACTAATTATACAATCATGGCTTTGTGATGACCACTCCTGTGCATTGACTTTCTTTTCTTTCAGCCTGTTTTTTTTTTTGTTTTTTTTAATTAGGCGGTTATTGTTCATTTGAAACACCTATTTGTTCCCAAGCATTGACCTTTTGGTTGATGTCTTGAGATGCTGCCTAAATGTTTCCACATGTCGTTCATTTCCCATCATGCCATCTATTTTATAGATTAGTCCCTCCTCCAGTAACACTCTTACATCATACTGTCACCTCCATAATTAAGGCTTGCAAGCTTCCACCTTCTTCTGTAATACGTTACGATGCTCATTCAGGCCAAACGTTTCAATTTTAGTTTCATCAGACCACAGGACATTTTTACAAAGATTAGTTTCTTTATCCCTCAGGGCTTTGGCAAACTATAATTTAGCTCTTTAAATGGGAACTATTACGCAAGGTTCACATTTTGTACTTCTATTTTGGTCTCAACTGTTTCTAAAAAGAGCCTAAGTACTTTAAAAAAAAAAGTCCAGTAAAACGTTAATGTTCCCTGATGTCTGAAAAATTAGCTGTTTCAAAAATCTTCTGAATGTAACGTCACAAACCAGCGGCTACTGACCATCAGCAACCCCACCGAAGCAAAGTCCGTTACCTAGCAACCCCTGCCAAAACCAGCCCATTGCCTAGCAACCCAAGTTGAGTTCCAGCACCTTTGGTCAGCAGGGTTTACAGCTGTATGCGCTGTACAATGTCAACTTACCATCCAGAAACCAGTTGTTGCATTCTCATTGGTTATACAGGAGGCTCTACTTCTGCTTTTCAAAGCTGCACGATTGAATAGTTGCGCATCTGTTTTCTGCCATTTTCACGTGTAAACATTTATTTTTGGGTGGCGTGGCCGGTAGCAGCTTATTTAGATTTAAAGCGACAAAAGGCCCTAAAACAGCTCATTCTGCTCAAAATAGACAGAATTGATTAGACTAAAATCTCATTATCTCAGAATGATTTTGTGCAAAAAATGTAATAAACATGTTTTGTATAGCACATTCATCTACTCTAAGCTGATAAAGGGACCATTTTCACTGTGAATTATAATACTAATTTGATCAGCTTCAGTCAAAATCTCCACATGGCTCTTTTTAAAAGCCATTATTATCAACCAGTTATTAAAACTGGAACGAAATGGTTTGATTTAATGTCAGACGGTGAGAAAAGAGGTTATGTTTCTTGTCATGGTGTATGTAAATATCTGGCTTCGACTGTATTTTCAAACTGTTCACATGGAACGTGAATACCTGTCCCCTATAGACCGATTTCATCATCGGACTCGTCTTCAAATGAGTAGCCCCGTCCTTCCTCCTCATCCTCCTCTGAATCAGTCTCTGAGTGGACGCCCTCTGACCTCCTCCTGTCCAGCTCGGTGACCCCGTCCGACCCTGAGCTGTGCGATGAAGAAGGACTGGGAGGCAAATCTGCGTTGTGGTTGCTCAACTCGGGTTCTCCCGCCGGACTCTTCCTCCTCCCGCTGTCGTCTCTCACCGGGCTGCTGTGGCATCCCAGCTGATCATCGCCATCCTCGTCGTCGTGGAGGTCGTAGGTTTGACCCTCGTCCTCTTCCGATGGCTGGCGAATGATCTCCTCTCGCTTGTCGCTGAACCTCACCTTGGGTTTCAGCCCCCTGGACTTCAATCCGTTCTCGTCTGGTATCCTGCCGTCTTCATCCAAGCCATTCCCGTTTACAGACGTCTCCACGTTCCCCCTGATCGTCTTCGTTTCCACCACTGATGTGTCACTCTTTGGGCTGAGCACGGCCTCCCCGTTGGAGCACAGCGACAAACTGTCCATCACCCCTAAAACGTCCCCAAGGATAGACGGACCCAGATCCAGATCCAGGTCCAGGTCCAGGTCCATGGTCAAGGAAGACACGGACTCCGAGTGCTGGAGCTGTGGGCTCTGTGGAGCATCCTCCCAAAGGTGGCCGTGGTTCACCGCTACCTCCGGGTCAGCAGCCGGCAAGATCCCAGAACCACTCAGCTCGGAAGTGGTCGGACTGGGACCAGCGGTGGACAAGAAGGAGGTGTCTCCAAAGGCGTCGCCTCCCCTGCCGATGTGCATGGTGTGGCGAAAGTCCCCCAGGGGGGCGGAGATCATGGTGGGGTCCAGGCGGTGGGCCCGGGATGGTTTGTGGAGTGGCATGGCTTATCAGGGGAAAACTGTGGGTGGAGAAGGAAAAAGTAAGGGGAAAGAAGACCGAGCTAAATGAGACATAACACACAAACACTTCCTGATAAGACGCGGCTGAGTTGTGTAATGCAGTATGGGAAACCTATGAGCCTTTTGGCACTGGTCCGGCTGTGAAGGCCATGCTGAGACTTGCACTTGAAGCGCACTGTGCAGCGTTAGCACATACTTCTCTCTGCCCTCAGGGCTGCTTGAAGACAAAAACAAGACTATAACCTTCTTTACAAAATAGAAGACATCTAAACGTTTTACAGTCGTGAAAAAAAGGAGGGAAACCCCTAAAGTAGCTTAAAAAATAGTTAAAACTGTAGGTGTGATCTTGAACTTATATCTTTCTTATAATTAATAACCTAAAAATAACTGACGGACACTTAGCGTAAAGCGGGAGTGGGACTGAGTGAGTTAATATATCAGTAGAGGGGGCTTCAAGGCCCAGCCCTCTGCTGCTTTTTAAGTTTCTTAACGCTTCAAAACATCTATAAATCACATAAACCGATTCTAAAGCACATAAAATTGGTCTTAAATGTATTAAGAGAAACGTTTGGATCAACACAAAACTCCGCTTATCGACTGAGTTAACCAAGATTTACTTAGAGAGCAATTAAAAAAAAAACTTACTTCAAATTGTTTGTTTTTCTTTTTTTTTGGCTCCCGCTGCAGTGTCCACCTTTTTCATTTGTCTTTTCGCTTTCCTCTCCTCCTTCCCAACTTTTCCCTCGCTCTTTTCTCGCCGTCGTATGCCTGTGTGAGTTTTTCTTTTTCTTTTTTTCCTCCTCCTTTCCAAAGGGATGGGCATGGACTGAGGAAGTGACGCGACAGTTTTTTTTTATCTCTCTCTTACTGGTAAGAGAGAGGAGCCGCAGCTGGATTAAACCGGGTTTTCCGGACAGTTTGAAGGCACTCAAACGCATCACAGGGCTGTTAAATCAGTGCGTAATAACTTTATTTAGGTCAGAGTGTTTTTTTTAACTTAATCAAATATATTTATTTATCCCTTTTGGATCCCTTGATATTTTGTTTTTTGTACTTTAATATTTTATAAAACTTTGCGGTACATTCGTAAAATGTACACAATTTGACCAGGTTGAGTATTTTTTGTGCTAATTTTTCCTTCAAATGTCTTTTAAATTGAACAGAGCATTTGCACCCTTCATTTTCTTGTATTGTTTTTAATACACTGCCACTGCAATTTGATTTCTGTTTTTGTTTGTTTTTCCCCATTCTCAGTGTTTCCCTTAGTTTGTTTTCCACTATGTCAATTTTTTTTACATGTTTTGAAGTCTACAAGTTTGTATGTATTGGACGGCAAGAAAATGTACTTTTTGGATTTTTAGCAACTTTGCAGAAACAAAATGGATCAAATTTAATGTTTTTGACCCTAATAAAAAAATCTAGTTTGGAACTAGAGTTAGATTTGTTTCACTACATCATCACCTCTGATGAGGTCAAAAGATATTTATTATATATATAAAAAAAACAAAAGACAAAGTATATTTAGACATTTTTCCATGAAGATCTCCAAAATATCAGTTTTGTTTGTCCAGCGGAAACACATGGTGGGGAAAACAAAGAGACCTCTGGGATAAAACATTAGAACATTGCATTGTCCCTTAACATAGAAGGTGATTTCCCTGATGTCCATTCATTTAATGAAAAATGGCCTAGATATAAAAATAAACTTGAAAGAACAATAAAGTTGTAAAATCATCAGTTATGTATGTATTGTTATTATTCATTGTTAATAACGCCCAAAACCACATAGTCACTTTTTATTGCTTTATGTTAAAACCACAAACACATGCATTTATTTACATTTTAGTAACAGAACATGGAAAAGTAGTGCAAAAGAGACATGATTTTCAAGAATTTTTACAAATAAAAATTTGAAAAGTGCTCTGTGTATTTACATTCAGACTTCATTACTCTGGAGTCCAGTGTGAAAGAGCACATCAGACGGGTTTAGGAGAAGTTAAAACAGATTTATAGAATAAAATAATAATCCAAGGTTTGTACATCTCACAGAGCTCTGTTCAAACCTACCAAGACATGGACAACCTGTAAAGAGCAATTCTTTTGCTTTATTGTTATTTTGAATATCATATTGAGTTTTAGAACAAAAATACCTTTTAAAGAGAGGTAATGTAAACATGTACTGAATTGAAGCATCCCGAAATTGAATTAAAAATGTGTAATTTTCATCATAATAATCAATAGGAAGGACTATGTGAAAAATGTATTGCTTTTATAATTAGCACCATTCTCTTTATGGATGACCAAAACTGACATAATCTAAATTAAAAGAAGTTGTTGGTCCTCCATATCTGTAATGGAAGTTTTAAGCAAATAAAGCATAAAAAAAGGTAGAATTTGCTTTTTTATAAGCTTCGTATTTTAAAACATTCATTAAATCTTTATCACTTTGGGCCACGGTTCTGAAGAGCCCCGTGTGATTTCAAACTGCAGGTTACGTGGAAAACAATGACTGCTCAAATCTGCTTAGAGTTCATTGGGGAGCGGAGAGAAGGAAGACATAGGAAGTCCTGTTTGCAGCTTCCAATAGGCTGTTGGGGACACAGCAAACATGTGGAAGAAGGTGCTCTGGTTAGATAAGACCAAAACTGAACTTTCTGACCCACAAGTAAAAGACTGTGTGTGGAGGAAAACTGCACATTTTGCATTTCAAACATTTCCTTGTGAAACGTTGTGGTGGACCCATCATGCTGTGGGTGAACTTTTCTTCAGCTGGAAAGTAAAATTCAGAGTTGTTGGGAAAGTGGATGGAGCTAAATGGGAGACAATTCTGGAATAAAACTTGTTAGAAGCTGCAGACGACATGAAACTGGGGTGGAGGTTAAACTTCCAGCAGGATAAAAATCTCTTAATACAGCCAGAGTCACGTTGGAATTGATTAGATGTACTCATGTGTTAGAGTGGCCCAGTCAAAGTTCAGATCTAAAACAAACTGAGAGTGAGTTCACTCTTCACTCAATCTGACTTCGACTTCTCCAAAATCTACTGAACAGCTCTTGATTTAGCTGCAAGACTGATGTATTTTTGTATTTTTTTTTCTTTTACTTCACTCTTTGTAAATACATACCCGGATATAAAATTTAACAGTATTTCTTTCTTTTTTTTTTTTTTTTTTTTTTTACAAAACAGTACTCAACATTCCTAAAAAATACTAATTTGATTAAAATATTAATTCATACTTTTTGTACCCATTTGAAGCTGCATGTTGCTAAATTAACCTGCACTGTGTGTGAATATGTTATTTAAATTAAAACATCCAAAAGATCCAAAATAAAATATTTGGGAGAGGAGGAACTCGGTGTCAGTGGGTTCCCCACATCTCTTAAACACAAATATGCAGACTGTGATTAGGCAACACAGGCTTAGCAAACACATTTAATTACACTGTGAAATATTATGAAGGACTTTAGCAAAAATAAACTGCAATTATGTTGACATTCATGGAATTCAAGTCGAAGACGTCGAGGTTTTAACACGGCCACACCTAGTTGACTACATGTTTTTAAAGGGTGGCTGCTTCATATTTAGTTAGCTGTACCCTTTAGCCAAAATGTTTTTTGGAGTACTGAGAAGAAGATGTGGAAGTGGGCCAACATTTTGAGAGGTTTTATTTGTCTATTGTCTTGTGCTTTCAAGCTTCCTTCCATGGGTTAAAGAAACAAAAATCCCAGGTATTCAGACAATGGTACTGGGTGTTGAGTCACTGTTTGTTGGATCCTGTGGCAAACACTCAGCATACTTGTGTGATGATGTAGTCGACAAGACAACATCAACCAGTCAGTCATTCACACGTTGTCAGTCACTGTGAAACAGGCAGGAAATTATACGAAAGCTGCTCCACTGAAATCAGACAGCGCTGCTCCCACAGAGGGCATTTATAATAGTAATTATACATATATACTTACATACTCAACACACGATAACAAATGCAGAGCTTAGGGATCTGATGGTAGGAATATTTCTTTGTTGGATTTGGCAGAAATTAAGACAAGTATTTCTGCAGCTACATTTGGCATTAGGAGTTATAAATGACTTGAAGGTTTTGGAGGATTAGTGTGGGAGAGACTCTGGCAGGAAATGACTCCCCTCCCTGTGACACACACACACACACACACACACACACACACACACACACACACACACACACACACACACACACACACACACACACACACACACACACACACACACACACACACACATCCTGCAGCTGCACATGCTCCACAGGAAGGCCATGAGGGAGAAGAGCGCTAAGATCTACAGAGCTTTAAACAACTGGCTCTTCTCACTGTCATTCAAAAGCCTTCAGTTATTCCATATCTTAATATTTACATCCCACTGTTTTTAAGTGCAGCTGATAGTTCTTGGGCCTTTTCATTGTCTTTTTTTAATATTGACAGATTTTTTTGTTCAGTTATTATAATGCCATTTACTTACAAATACATTTTACTCTGACTTGATAGATTTCTTCTTCCTTTGTCTCTTTTTCTTTTTTCACTTTATTATTGTGCATTCTTGATGTTATTAGAGTTTCATTTATTCATTCAGTTTTGAATTTTAAGTTTTTTCATTCTTGTTAATCTGGTATTCGGAAAAACAGGTTTCAAATATGAATTTCTGAGAAGTATAAACTTAAATTATATGTTAACTAAGACACAAACAATTCTCTCCTCCAACAGTAATAAAGAGTTAGAAGAGAACCAGGACTGGCGACTGACCATGGGAGGTCAAAGTTTAAGAGCAGAAAGTACAGGTCTTTGTCCTTTTTCTACTTCCTGTTTGAGGGAAAGTATGTGTATGCAGGCTAGTCATTCGTGAAACACAAAGTTTAAACTACGTTTTTACCATAGATGAACTTACTTTGGACAGTCGCCACTAAAAGCATTTTTATTATACCATTAGTTACCCCTATAAACGATTTCCACATAAAAATATTAATTAAGCACTTTACTAATCCTCAAAAACAGTTAAATGGAAGACATAAGGCACGTTTCATACACTACTACAGAGTCAATATCTTGCAAAAAAAAATAAAAAATACAGTTTAAAACTTTAATTCACCGTAACTGTGGCTCATATAGTCTTCAGAGATTTCATAGCTAATGGTTTATTAACTGTTTATTAATCATTTTGAATGTGAGACTGACTGACTTTTCAGTTTTATTTATTCACATAGATTTCCCAATTAGATTGGTCCAGATTTATCTTTTCCAGATTTATACATCAGATCATTTTCAATTATGTTCACACCTTAGTTGTTACTGTAAAGATAAGGTCTTTATCAAATTCCTGCCATGGTTCTTGCTTCAAAACTCTCTACAAGAGACAACAGAGGCTAGGATGAGGCATACACATAGAAGCTGACCCAACAAGTGGAGCCATAACACTTGTAAGAAGTACCTGATCTTTTATGCTTTTCATAATTTCCTACTCGTTTCATTCACCTTTTCCTTCATAGCACAAACTGGAAATTTGTTAAATAAATAAATAAATAAATAAATAAATAAAATTAAAAAGGAAAATGATCAGCATTATTTAGGGAATAAGTGTCTAGAATGTGCTACAAGTTCACATCAATACTGATTTAAATGCAGGGTGTGTTACTGTTTTTATATGTCTTTGTGCCACTTTTAACTATCAAATATGATTTAAATCAGTATGAATGTATTTGAAAATGTTTAAGACCAACGTTTTTCTTTGTTTTCCCACAAATAGTTGGGCTTTTTAGTCAAGTTTAAACGGTTTGGACCAAAAGATCACCAAGCTTTCTCTGTTTTAGCAGCAGTTTAATTGTTTTCTCACTCTGCTGGAAGCTCACTCATTTACATTGTAAGTTTAACAGTGATGGTAAATTTGTGGCAAAACAATACTTTGAAAGATAAAAACTTTTGTCAATAAATTTGTTAATTTAGCTCAGGTTTGAGGTTATAAAACTTCAAATGTGGATTTTAATTTGACAGTCGAAATTCAGGTGAAAATACCTGATAAAAAATGTAAATATGGACTGAAGTTTATCCCTGCTGCGCAAGGTTTGCGGCACAAAAATATCCAACACAGTGGTTTAAATGTTAACTGAAACAATCTTCCCAATATTTGTCGTATAGGTAAGCTATTTACATAATTCAAAATAAAGTGGACAGCATTATTGACAACAGAAAAGAGAAAACATAGATATATAAAAGTACAGTCTCGCTTTATTATACTGTAAATCTAATGCTTTGTTTTCCTTTCCAACACTGAACTTTCAGGTGACTAACTGAGACAGGACATATTTGGCTAAGTATACCCTGCGCCTGTCTGCTAAGGCATAACCAAGTCGCTTTATTTTGTTTTATGGGCAAAACAAGTAACAGATACCTTTTCAAAGAAAACATAAACTCTAAACTTGGTTGGGTAAGGGGGACGGGAAGCAGGACTTTATATGAGCGCATTTCGTGTCGCAGTTCTCCCTGTAAGACACTACGCTGGGGGAAATAAACAAAAGGAGGCCGTTGGGCGACTTGGCCAGTTTAACTTATCTGCCATTTTGTAGCTCTGTAGTTTGCTCAGACCGAGCTGTTCGTCAACGCAGAAGGAACAGATACACGAATGTCTGCTTGTTTTCTTTTAATTTACCTCTTGTGTTAGGGTGTATTAACGTTTATTTTCTTTGTATAGGTAATTGTATTCACGATCAACTGATTGTCCCCACTGTAATTTACATTTCAGGTTGGATTTTTAGTGTTGTTTACCTTCTGAGGGATTTTAGAGGAGCTAAGGCTAACGGCGTTAGCCTAGGTTTTCTGGTTAGCTCTCTGAAGCTAACGGCTAATCTGTAGTGAAATGGCGGCCAACACGGCTCAGGCGACCGCTACAACCAACTGGTAGGTCACACTCTTAAAGCGAGAATGTTAATTTAGTTCATGTAAATGTCGTTTGATGAATATACATCATGTCTTTAATGTGTTTCGTTTTATTTCAATACCGGTGATGGCATTAGATTTATGCCCCGCATACAGGAAATTTGCGGGGTTGTGTGTAGGCCGTTGATACGGCTAACGGAAGCGAAATAACTGTAGCACTAGCTACAGTTATTTCGCTAAAATTTAACTTAAAAAATGCAATGCATTAAATGTTCTGTATCTGACAGTGTGATAATAGGTCAAACATATGCTGGGTTAATTACGGAGAAACTCGATGCTTGTCAGTGTGTTTAAAAATGAAAAGTTGGATACATCCCCAACAAAAATATGAAAATAAAAACGTATTTTTTGTTTCCATAAATTCTAGGGTGTTGCATTTCTCGAAAAATGAGGTGACAACAACTAGAAAGCAGATGTGTACCGTAATCTAGTCCACGTTTGAAGAGATTAAATATCGTAGCTTTTGAGCTGGGCCAGTCCTAATGTATTGCTGATACAAATAAAGCAAATACTGAAATTACCCTTTATTGAACTCTCATTAATGAATTCACAAGCTAGGTTTAATATATTGTGCTTTTAGTGTAGAATAATCTGGTCCAGGTTTAAGGTGTTTTACTCAAATTTTTATACTAAAGCAGATTAAAAACGCTCAAGGCAGTGAAAATCTTGCCCTTTTAACAGTTTCCTGAATCTGGATGTTAGATTCCCAAGCCAAAGTGTCAAACGACTTGTGCAAAAATATAATTTTGATTACTGTAGAGCAAGATACCAATGAAAAATAAGATACCAAAAAAAGTCTCCCTTGTGCTTGCATAAAACAGAGTGAATCAAACCGTACCAGTGTATATTGCTAACCGGAGTTGAGGGAAAACACAGAATTGGATTAGGACGCGTTTAAGCTATGAACAGGAATTGTACACCCTGATTTGGTTCATAAAATGCAGCTGCAGTCACTAATAGTTGTATACCTACAGGAACCTGCTGAAAGTTCATTTGTATAAGTTAAAAGCTAAAATACTTTAAGAATTTCTTAAAACATTTAAGTCAAATTCAAAGCTTTATCATGAACTATGTTTATTTTAGAATTAAAATTATCACTGATAGATGATGTCTTCTGATTTGCCTTTAATTTTTATCTTTTTCATCATCTTTGCTATAAAATATGTATGTTGTACTTTTATGCCTTTTTATGACTCTCTTAAAAGCTGCTAGATTTCAATGGTGTATCTGAATAAAATCCATATTTTGTTGATGTCAAGCTCCAGTCCTCGAGGGCCAGGTTCCTGCAATTTTAAGATTAATCTCCACATCAGCACAGCTGAATCACAAGATTAAGTCATTGACAGGACTATGCAGAACTTGAGTGGATGAGGGACATCCCAGAGTTGCAGGTCACTGGCCCTCCAGAACTGGAGTTATTCATCTCCTGATTTATAACTAGCTCCTGACCTGACATGTTTGGGTAAACCCTCATCTGTGGGGTTATTTATTATGTTATGAAGACATTTTGAGACTTTGTTGTCCTGATCCAGTTAGTTTTTGAATTCTAGCAAAAATATCTGGCAAACTCATCCCAAGTATTTATATCTTTGTTGATGGCAGGTCCTATGGCCCTGCTGCAGATGGCCATGTTCATGAAAATCCAGAATGGGAAAAAGCACGACAAGCACTTGCGTCAATCAACAAGACTTCTAAGAATTCACAAGATAACAGAAACACGGCCGAGGTTTGTGCTTCATCTCTGTTGCATCTTACCTGTTTCACACTGGAGAATTTATGAACCTGTGGCTGTACTAAATCTTGAGAGGCTTAATCATTGGTTGCTTTAATTTCAAGCCCAGAATTGTTAATGATGCACAGTGGCAATACTTTAAAGAGTTGCTATGATTGCAATCACTTTTTAGTTGTTTTTTTTGTTTCACATGCAAGATTTACTTTAAGGTGTAAATCGGGCCTCATGTATTTGGCAAGTGATGTGCAATTAAGATGCTCATTATCATGGAAAAAGTTAATAATTTATATTTATTTTGACAGCTATGTCCAATTGATTAAGTCTATAAAACCTCAAAGTTAATCATCATTTTTCATTGTTGGTTCTGAAAGGGCATAATTTAAATCAATATATTTTATTATTGTGTACAGTGTAGCTATGCATTTTATGACAATGATTGAATGGTTTTAAATACTTTTTTATTGTCTATTTTGTCAGCATTCCAAAAGAAAAAAATCAAATTTAAGTCCATATTGCCCCTCCTTAATGTTAAGAGACATTAAATCAAATGGTTGCATCTGTCACTGTGTAATTTACAGCCTTTGCCACTTCTGATCGGTAAATATCGATCCACTCTCAACTGCAGTTAAGGACATTACCACAAATATGTCTTAATTAAGCTATTCAGTATTTGCCCTTTGGGTTTTGCAAAAGCATCTTGTAGTTTACTTTCATTGATTTCTGTTCGTATTAAATGCTTGTTTATTATTGTTATTACAAAAAGATTTTGTTGTGTTGGTAATTTTAGGCAGGCCAGTTTCAGGCAGCAGACTCTGCTGCTCTTCAGCAGCAGCAGTACTATCCATGGTACCAGCAAACTCAGCAGCATTATCCTGGATACACATACCCCTACAACTACTACTACCCCATGGGACCTGTGAGTACAGAGGAAATGAATTGCTCGTAGATTGTGTTTAGCAGGCTTATTTTGTACCAACAAATTGGTGTATTCTATTTTTTATGTGTCTATAATCAGAGTAATGGGAAACAGTTTTTCTAATGGCTTGTAGTTTTGTTAAAACACTTGGCTCAATAAAATACTGAAATAGACTTTTACTTTTACACTGTTACCATTAAATAAAAGAAGCGAAGCGAAGAAGCGAAGTTAGCCTGTTAGTATCTGCCAAACTCCCCATTTTTGTGGGGAGATTGTGACATACGACTTTTAATCTTTTGCTCTGACGGTGCTGATCAGTGAAAGGGGATCCGATATGTGGCTGGACACAATTATGGCGCAACGGGTTGAATTTGTTTTTATCCAAAGCTGTACATCCTACAATGCTATTTTAAATATACAGTGTCGGGCTACACTTAATTAAAAAAAAATGTGCAACTGTGATATTATTGTGATTGCAGAACTGCATCTAGTACAGGGGTGGGCAACTCCAGGGCTCGAGGGCCGGTCTCCTGCAACTTTTAGATGCATCTCTACTTCAACACACCTGAGTCAAATAATGAGGTCGTTAGCAGGACTCTGGAGAACTTGACTGCACTTAGGAGGTGATTCAACTGTTGGATTCAAGTGTGTTGGACCATGGAGACATCTAAGAGCTGCAGGACACCGGCCCTCGAGGACCAGGATTGCCCACCCCTTATCTAGTAGCTTGTCATTTATTGCACCATTAAACTCTTCAAAATCAATGATCATGTTTCACAGCTTGATAAGATTTGATTGTTTAGTTGAAACGATACTTCTGATCTTCAGTAAAATAACAACCGACAAAAATATGTCAGAGTTTCTGTTGTTCTTTTCTCTCTTTCAGTATGGCGCTCCATACCCACCAAATCAGTACGGTGTACCTCAAGGAGCATATCCAGGAACTCCAACTTCTAATGGACAGGTATAGAGTGTATTTTTCTTTGAAGTAAAACTTTAAATTACTTTCAGATGATGAGTTGCGGTAGTGACTGTTCTGGAATCAACAAACACAAATACGGATCTTCTGACAAAGCAGTCAAGATATGATTAAATTCATAAATTAAATTAGATACAAGTGGATTTTTCTTTTGTTTTTGTTATCGTTGTTGTTGCTTGATGCACAGTTGTGTGGAAGTTTTCCTGATTCTACTGTTTCGTTTTCACAGCCTCCCCCTGTGCCTGGAATGGAAGACCAGACCCCAAACTACTCCCAACCACAGCCCCCTCCACCCGCCCCCCCCCAGCCTCCCCAGAGCCCAACCACCTCAAAGAATCCCCCGCCCCCGCCACCCTCACCTATCCCCCCTCCCCCCAATTCCCAGTACGCCCCGCCTGCTTCGCAAAACTCTTACAGCACCAACAATAGCATGTCATACCCGCCCAGTGACCCCAACCAAATGCAAGTGTACAATCACTCCCAGGGCAGACCAAACTATGGCCAGAGTTTCCAGGCCCCGAACTCCTACCAGCCTTCTCAGAATAATTCCCAGCAGCAACAGCTGCAGAGTCAGTACTCACCTGGGCTGGGCCGCGGAGAGGCCAATAAAAGCCAAAAACCAGGACAGCAGATCTGGCACCGCATGAAACGTGAGCTTTTCCTTTTCTCACATTACAGCTTCCCCATCGTTAGTTTTTATGTTGCTTTCTTGGAAGGAAAACGGAGATAATTGTTTGCCTTAAATGTTTTTGCTCTCACAGAGGCACCAGGAACGGCACCGGTTAAATTTAATATTTCCAAGAGGCCCTATCAGGTTCAGTGTTCCCCAGTCTCCAGTCAGGCTTTCCAACCAGGTGAGCAGCCCACCGGGTTAAATCAGGCTCCTTCCTCACCAGCTACTGCCAGCACTGCTTCCGGCGCGGCCCAGACGAGGTCAGACCTGCTTCACTGGTTCTTTTAACAACCAGTTGAACTGGTAGTGACCTTAAATTCCTCTCCAGGCCCCAGGACTGGCCCCAAGCGATGAAAGAGTATGTGCAACGCTGTTTCACCGCCTGCGAAACAGAGGAAGACAAGGATCGTACCGAGAAGGTGTTAAAGGAAGTCCTCCAGGAGCGGCTGAAGGACGGTTCCGCCTACACAATTGACTGGACCCATGAGCCATTACCAGAGTGAGTTAGTTCTGGTTTTGACCACCGAGATTGTTAGTAGAGGCTAATTACTGCCAGGAAGATGTTGGTTTTATTTTCTTTTAGGCTCTGACCAGTCTTGTGAGTTAATTGCTCTCTTTAAGGAGGTGTTGTCATAGCCAAGCATCAGTAGAGTTTTGCCTGAAGCTGGGCTTTTTTCCCCCCACAGATTAAAGGTAAAGCAGTCTCGTTGGGAAGCTGTCCCACCCCAAAGAACATCAGATAACTCCATGATACGTGGAGGAAGTACAATGGGGGCTGCTTCCAGGGGCAGAGGAATTGGCCACAGGTTAGGTAACTACAGGAACATTTTTTCTCAAAGGAGTCCGTCGTCTAGTTCATCGCGATCCTCCTCCCGCTCTCCTTCACCGTCACACGGCCGACACAGAGATCGAAGCAACCAAAGACACAGGCGCAGGTAAGATTCAAGTCTTACCTGCTTTGAATACTTGAAGTTTCCTGTATGCTGATTGCTAAGATGTCTACCGGCCTTTCCAGTGATTCTGGCTCCCAGTCAGACAGCAGCATGTCCAGCGACCTGCAGCCTCAACTGTCAAGACGCGGACAGAAAGGCGGACGCGGTCGCGGTAACGACAGGGACAGGGGACGTGGAGAGAGAGGCAGAGGAAGAGGAGGAAAGGCCAACAGAGGAAGACGGTAAGATGAACATCTCTAGAATCTACTAGTCTTTGATTTATTTATCATTCCTGTTTTTAAGTGGTGAATAAATATATTTGGGGCTCTGCTTTGTAGAGCTTTACCATCTGATAGCAATTTTCTCTTTAAGAGCTATAATTAGCAGCCCTTCCTACTGTGTGTTCAAGAGTTGTTTAGTTATGAGCATGAATTGCTGTAACTACTGTAGTGTAGTTACGCCACTTTGACAAAACGTTTGTTAGGCACAAATTGACATCCTGTGGTAAACCTCTGCTTTCCTTTCTTCTGTAATGACATCCACACTGAAGAGTGTTGTCGTTAGTAAAAATGTAGTTGTGTATAGAGATTATTTGTTCACTGATGGGACAAATAATGAGGTTTTAATCTGGGGCGGTCAAGCTGAAAAGCACTAGCCGGTCTCTCAGTGGATCTCTAATTTGCTTTTGTCTTACAAAAGCTTTATATTTTAAAACGTTTCTTTTAGGAACATGGATGATTCAAATGCAACTGTTGGAAAAAAGAGGAAAGGGGGAAGCGCTGGAATGGATTTCCATGACCCAAACAGGGAAGCTAAGAAGCAGAGCAGAGCAGCTCGTTTTCAGAAGCAGCTCCGCTCTGAGCCGCTGGTTCTCTCCATCAACTCCCTGGATCTGCCTGATGGAACCCAGGAGAGCCTCAGCTGGGAGGACTGCCCCATCGTGGGCTCATGTCAGGACATCACCAAGCCCTACCTGAGGCTCACCTGCGCCCCCGACCCTTCCACTGTCCGCCCCGTGCAGGTATGTGATTCAGAAGATGCAAACGCAAATTCCCCTCTCAGGATTTACCCACAGATTGGACAGTTTGTAGTTTTTGGTCTATAGTAGTTTCATTTATGTTTACTTGAAAATTGATTCCACTGAGACTAACACATTTCTACATAACTTCACATCATGTTTAAACTAGTGGGGTTTTTTTCCCCCAATGTCTGACCTCGAAGAAAAGAAGTAGTACAGAGCTTTTTTTTTTCTTCATGAAAAGCTCCTTGCTGCATTCGGTTGTATTTCTTCTGCATCTTCGACCTGTTCTTTTAAAATGACAGATTTAAACGTTGACAACGTTTGCAGCCTTCAGAGACTAAAGATCTCACCTTTGAACTGTTTCTATTCTTGTCTTCTGTCAGGTGCTCAGGAAGTCCCTGCTGGCTGTAAAGGCCCACTGGAAAACTAACCAGGACTACGCTTATGCATGTGAGCAGATGAAGTCCATACGACAGGACCTCACGGTGCGTTCAGTTAGCCTGCTGTCATTTTAGTCTTAAAATTTAAAACAGAAAAAAATATCAGCTAAAAAAATAACTTTTGATACTGTGTCCCTGCCAGGTCCAGGGCATTCGGACTGACTTCACAGTGGAAGTGTACGAGTGTCACGCACGCATCGCCCTTGAAAAAGTGAGATTTCTTTTGTGTTTTTGTGTATGCACTTATTGTTTTTTGGTGTGTTTTCTAAGCTCATCTTGTTGCTGATTGGACTCTTAGGGAGATCATGAGGAGTTCAACCAGTGCCAGACTCAGCTGAAGGCCTTGTACAAGGATAATCCCTCAGAGAATATTGGCGAGTTTACAGCTTATAGACTGCTGTATTACATGTTTACTAAAAACTCTGGAGGTAAGCTTGCTTCTTTTGTGTCATAATTGGTCTAAAAGAGGCAGCATTTTTCGGCGTTTTCATGTCGGCCACTTTCCCTCCAGATCAGATCACCGAGCTGGTGTACTTGACTCCGGCTCTGCGGGCGGATGAGTGTGTGGCTCATTCTCTTGCGCTCCGTGCCGCCTGGGCGCTGGGGAACTACCATCGTTTCTTTAAGCTCTACCGGGAAGCGCCACGCATGGCTTCATATCTCATTGACAAGTTTGTAGAAAGAGAGAGAAAGATCGCTCTTCGGGCCATAGTCAAAACGTGAGTTATGCTCCTGAAATCAGGGTTTTTATTGACTGTAAACCATAATGATGGAAGTTACAAAAATGAACACTTTAAATGCACCACTCAGCGAGTTTGACTTTTTTTTTTTTTTTTTTTTTTTAAAAATATTTTTATGGTTTGCCGGAAGTTTTTTCCCT